AACTATATTACAAGCATGTGAGCACTCGTATTTGTAATGGTTTAAGCAGTGCATAAAAATGTTATACTATAGAAACAACATGCGCGAACATTTTGGAAAGCGCCTCCTCTGGCATCCCCGCTGGACGGGCGAGGCGGCTCGAGCGTTCCGTCGTGCTCCGCCAAAAGTGCCATGACAATGCTGTCAAGGAAGAGTGGGGCGCCTTATGTTTGTCAGATCTTGCAGTCGCGTTGAATGGAGCTAGAGCTGGCTCTGGTAGGGGGCCCGACAACCTTGGACCTGCGGACCTCCGAGCCTGTCCATCCGCACTGCGATCGGAGCTCCTGGCCTTGTTCTCCGAATGCGAGCGGGCCCTTGCGTGGTCCTGGCAATGGCCGTCGGTCCTGGAAGGCGTGCTCCCGAAGTCGGACGGTGGGGGGCGTGGAGCTGCCCTTCCCTCCCGGCCCACTCGCTTCGGGGGGAAACGGCGCGAGGGCCCCAGGGTCGAGTGGTGCGCCCGGAAAGCTGGCCACTGGGGGCAGGGGGCTAGGGGCAGTTCGGCCTTCCAGCGCGCTGCGAGTGAGCTTCTCTTCGACGAGTCTTCGCAGGCCGTGGGCTCTTCAGCAGCGGAAGCGCTCTTTGGGATTTCATCGAGCTTCACGGTTCTCTCGGCCCCGTCACCACCTTGGGGGGGGCTCTGGGCCAGGGGTGCCCAGCCCGCCTGGTCGGGCTTTTTAGTTCGCTGTGTTACCTCGCCCCGCGTTATCTCCGCGCCCGACGGGGCCACTTCGAACGCCGTTCATCCCAGGGGGTAGCTCCTCACGGGCGATGGCAGTGCGAACAGTCGCGACCGAGCTATTTTGTGCGATCTGTTGCAGGACGCCCACAATCGATACTTTTCCCGCGTTGTCACTAAGAAGCGGGCTGACGATGTCGAACAGCGGACCAAAGGCACGGCCGAGCAGGCACTTCGACGCCCCCCCAGTTGCCGCGGGCCGTTTCTTCAGTGAGGCCTCCAGGATGGGCCTCGACATTTCCGGCAGGTCGGCGGTCATTGCGTCCGCCTTTCCCCTGGCTTGGGACCTCCTCGTCGGCCGTGGCTCGGGGCTGGCGGCAGGTTTCAGCCGGTTCCGAAGCGGTTGGTGGCTGACCTGGGGGCCGAGCGGGGATCGAGCCGCGCGACGAAGCCTAGGCATGCTCCCAGGGGTAAGGTTGCCGCTGAGCAGTTAGTTCGGGCGAGGAAACTGTGCCGCTTTGGTCGCCTCGCCCAGGCCAGGAATGCCATCGCGCTGATGTCTCCTATCCCTCGTGTCGCGTGCGGAGCGTCGTCGTCGGGGTTCGCCCCCTCCCGGCCCCCCAGGATCTCAAGGGCCATGGCGAGTGCGATCGGCGGGGTTCTCCACGGCCGATGCCTTGTCGCCAACTTCGGTCTGCATTTAAGCTGCAGTGCCCCGCCGTGTATAAGCCTCCTTGCGCCGGGCCGAGACCTGGCTTCAGTGTGCCAGTGACCAGGGGAGGTTGTTCCAGTTCCGTGCCCGTCTCCAAACCTCGCGCGCCGCCGTGGTTCTGCGCCTGCTCGGGATCTCACCTCGGTGCCGTTGCCTGGGGGTTCGAGGTCCAATGCCTGCTTTGATAGCCGTCCTTCTTGATGTGGAGTGGGTGCCGCGCGAGGATGGCGCTTTCACCTGGAGCTCGCCCAAATGCAGATACCTCTCCCCGCCCCTGGTGTCCACGTCGATTGCGAGTCTGTCCTGGATGAGCTCCGTGAGTCGTTGTGCGCGCGCCGCTGGCAGACGGCCGGTGGGGGGCTCGGGGGGGCTGATTCTCTCGCGCAGCGTAGGTTTCTGCAGAAGTTGAATTTGTCTTCCATTGCCGCGGTTTCGAGGTAACGTGGCAGTCTTTGGGCCGTTTATTGTGCTGGCCCATTGACCAGGGGCCGTCTTGCCAAAGTCGGCCTGGTACCGCCAGACGGAGCCGCGCGTGCGTGGGGCCCCAGAAGCGGACCTCCATCGAGCCTGGGTTTGCCCAGGCAACGCGTGCATTGCGCTGTGTAGGCAATTGGGCCACATGTCTGAGCGCGCACTCCCTGAAGCCGATCAGACCCCCTGCTGTTTGTTCGGAGGCATGATCCCCCGAGCTTGGGCAGTGGTGCCGCTGCCAGCTGACGAGCTGAACATTTATGATTGGGCGCGGCCTCGGACAGCCCACCCGCCCCCTATGGCGACGAATGCTGGGCCCCCCGCGTCAGGCGTTGCGGTTGGGGTTGTCTCCGCCCCGCTTCCGGCGTCGCCGCCGCCGCCCCCGACGTCGGTTCCCTCGGGGATCTCCCGGGTCATGGTGGGCATTTCCCCGGGAGAGTCCAGGCGGTCAATGGAACCGAATGTGCGGCCATGATCCAGTGGTTGATGGCCCATGGAGGGCCCAAGCGCTGATGCAATTATACAACTGACTCCAGCTATGTAGTCAATGGCGTGCGCAGAGGCCCCAGCAAGATACCGAGGCCGAACCGCGACCTCTGGCACCCTTTCTGGGGCCTACCATGCCGCCAGTTGCAGAGCTTCGGGCTCCAACTTCATAAGGTCGAGAAGTATGCCGACGACGCTCGAGCGGCTGCTTGAGATTCCCGCCCTCTGGCAGTTCGCCGAGCTGGCAGCGAGGCGCTTCCAGCTGTCGACGGCAGACACGGAGCGCCTGGCCCATGTCGAAGCCGGGGCCGCGCTCGTTCGCCAACGCCTAGCGGCGGTGATGCAGCACTGCGCCGAGGTCGACACCCGTGAGCGGGGTGATGGCGAGCGTGCTCCACCACCGCTCCGCTTAACCAGCCTCCAGCGTGCCATGATCGCTTCCCGCCACACCATTACGATGGGGGAAGGCGTTCGAGGAACCTGGCGGCTGTGCTGCATTGAGTGCCTGTCGAGGACGGGGGGCCGCAAGGTGATCAAAGCCTGGCTGGCCTTCCCTTGCTTGGCCGGGCAAGCGCGACAGGCGTGGGCCCCTGAGGCCCACCAGTCGCTGCAGATCGGGGGTCGGGCGCCGCGCGCGACTCATCGCGTTCAGGCCCACCCAGATGTCCCGATCTTGTGTTGCGCCTGTTGTGGGGTGGTCAGTGCCCGCGAGGGGGGTGTGCTGCTGGGGCTCGTTCGCCCCTGCTGCCCTCTGCCGCCTTCGGGCCTCGCCAATCTCAGGACGATAGCCCGAGGATCCTGGCCTGCCCGCGCAGCAGCCGCGCGTGCATGGAACTCAGGGCGTGGCCTGCTGGGTGGGCGGCGGGGGGTTCCGACGGGCTATCTAAATTTCCTTCCGCCCTGGATTGTCCTCCTCCCCCGAGGCTGCGCGCTCCTCCTACTCCTCCTCCTCCTCCTTCTCCTCCTCCTCCTCCTCCTCCTCCTCCTCCTCCTCCACGTCCTCCACGTCCTCCTCCTCCTCCTCCTCTTCCTCATCCTCCACGTCCTCCTCCTCGTCCTCCTCCTCCTTCCCCCCTCCTTTCCTTCTCATCCTCCGCCTCCTCCTCCTCCTCCTCCTCCTCCTCCGCAGCTGGCGTGGTCGGCACAGGCGGTCCTGAAGCAAGCAGCCTCCTGGAGGCAGAACCAGCCAAAAAGGCCCAAGCGTGGAGACGCCCCCGATTTCCATGGGGCTTGAGGTCTCAGAGTGGTCCGCTGTTTGGATGTCCTTGGGCCCATCTAGGCCTTGGGTGTCGGCGGCGCGCACAGTGTGGCATGGCAGGGCGAGGGCGGCGGCGATGTAAGATACGAAGGCACGCGGCTCTCATAAGGGATCGACCGCTCTTCGGATGCGTCGCTGAAAAAGGCATCTTGGGAGGGAGGATAACGTCTACCAGGCGGGGTGTCTTCTTGAAGGGGAGGCCAAAGTGGGGGAGTGGCCCTAACGGGAAACATCGGCCCCCGATCGTTCATTCATCGCCCATGGGTTTGGGGCGCCCCAGCCGACCTGGAACGCGCGGCTTCGTCGTCGGGGGCCTATCGCCGGTCTGTCAGCGATGTATCGACGGTTCCTGAGCCTGTATCCCCTCTTCGTCATCGGATGCCCAGAGGCCCCCAGAGGCCCCCAGAGGCCCCCAGAGGCCCAGCGGAGGCCCCCTTGGGCTCCTGGAGGCACCCCCCAAGGCGATATCATGCGGTCATATAGTTCAAGGAAGTGCCCAGCGACAGCCCCGCTCCGAAAGGGACCCCCTTATCAACTTCTGGTCGTTCAATCCCAGGAAGTCTAAAGCGAGAGCCCCAGTTTGGAGCAGAGCCGCCTTCCATCTGCGTTACTGTTGCGCACAGTGGGAACTGCTGTGATGGATTTTGAGGATGTCTCAGGCGAGAACCTCATTTTGAAAAGGAGCTGCCCGACGTACCAGTTTGATGTTTTTCAGCTGGATGTGCGCGGCGCCAGGGCGAGAGCCTCATCTTGGAAACGATTTTGCCCTCCATGTAGCTGCTACAGACGTGTGGGACGAGCGTGCGCGGCGCTAAGGCTAGAACCCCAGTTGGAAAGCCATTCGCCCTCCATCCGTGTCGCTGGCAGACTGTTTCCATGCGAGTGTGCGCGGCGCCACAGCGAGAGCCCCACCGTGTAGCTGGTGGAAACTTCAAGCCCCAAGATCATGAGCGGCGAGGCAGTCTCAGGCGAGCCGCCCGAACGACCCGTCTGCCCTCGCAACAGGGACTGGCTGATGCCAGTTTCCGCCCGCCCGCCCGCCCGCTGGCCGCTCGCCGGCCGCCCGCTGCCGCGTCGTCGTCGTCGGCGTCGTCGTCGTCGTCGGCGTCGTCGTCGTCGTCGTGGTCGTCGTCGTCGTGGTCGTCGTCGTCGTCTTCGTCGTCGTTGTCGTCGGCGTCGGCGTCGTGGCGCTGGCCGAAGCGCCCGGCCCACCCTCCAGCACCCTCGGGCGACGCCACGACCGGCGCTGTCCTCGGAGAGCCGCAGGGCTCCTGGTGAGAGATCCCGTTCGCAGTGTGTGGGGGGGGCCGAGTCTCAGGCCGAGCTCCGCGCGTTGTCATCAAGTCGAGCAGTGGCGAAGCGTCCTGGCTTGCCTGTAGGTCCACCAGGCAATGTTCTGAGAACCTTGTATGGTCTGCGCGAAATGTTCTTGGAACATTTCTGGCCGCGACTGTCTTGTTTCAGCATATCGGCATTCTATTCTTAGAACGTTGCTTTCGTTCTGGGAAGATACTTCTGTTCTGAGAACATGTCGGGGTTGGCCTGGAGTGCCAGGACGGTCGGTCCCCAGTCCCCGTTCAAGCAAGAGCGTTGGCCCCAGCATCCCCGAGATGGGGAGACGCAGCCCCCCTCGCTGCCCCCCCGCCGTCCTGCCCCGCTCCCGTCGGGCGCCGAGACCTGTGCGTATCCGCTGCCCCCGGCCAGGCCCATCGTGGGCCCGGGAGCGAGCGGTGTGCATGCCTCTACGGCCGAGCCATGAATGCGTCTTCTCGCTCCTGGGCCCATGATGGGCCCAGCCAGCTGCGGTAGCAAACCATGGGAGCCTGCATGTCCTCGAAGTTCCGTTTCTGGAGCGCATTCGCGTGCGTTGGCGTTTGGCAAGCGATGAATACGCGCCCATTTGGCGTCGTTTCAGCGTCGATGTTTGGGCGATTCGCGCGGGTTAGCGCCGATCAGCGTCGGTCAGCGCCGATTCGCAAGAGCCAGCAAGATGGCATGGGAGTCTCCCATGAGTTGCCACCAAAGCCAGGGCAGTGGATACAGTTGACACTTATAGTAAGGATGGGCAACCTTCCCAAGGGTGCCCTTGCATGCTTGTCCCTTCGACCCTTCCTTAACCACTCTCGCCGGCCGCGCACCGCTCGATAAGCCTCGACACGGCCTTCCAAGGCCCCTGCACCGTTGCCGTGCACCCCACTGTTAAGTCGGGCGTGTCCCTCTACAATAGGAGTATTCAAAAATAGTCAAAACATAGTCTGGGGACGATTCTTCGATTATTTGTTGAACATATTTTTGGGGTACTTTTTTCGACCAAGATCCGCCTGTAGGGGGACATGCCCGACCAAACCTTACTGCCAGTTTGGACTGTGCGCCGCCCTGCTCCCGCGCGCGGGGCCCGCTGCCCCTCGGGACCCTCGGGAGAGGAGGGCTGGGCCGATCCCCTCCCCTCGGAGGGCTGTGGCCTGCAGAACTTGCTGGAGAGGCACCTGGCGTACGTGGACCACAGCGGCGCGGAGATGCGCACCTACGCCGAGAGGAAGCCAGGGAGGAGGAACCGCCCCGACCCCCATGAGCGGGCGTTTACTGAACAGCCCTGTCCTGTCCGATTCCTCCCTGGGGGTGCGTTTGCCAAACGGCTTGGCTCGTCGGAGTGCTTACGATTTGGGTGGTTTTCCGTCTCTCGAAGGAACCCGCTGTGGAGGGCCGAGATGCTCTCGGCGGCTGCGTACCAGCGGAACTGCACGCGCCGCGTGGGGGGCCGGTGCTCGGGGAGAGGAGCGTGCACCGACACCGAGGAGCGCTTTGGAAGACGATTCTCGATAGCGCCCGTTCCCAGGGACGCCTACGCAGAAGGCATCTATACACCACCACCCTTCCTGGCCAGGGCTATCCTGGGCCCTGGCATGGTGTATACGCCTCCTGGCCGGATGGGTCTATAACCATCGTGGAGCCCAGGGTGGCCCTGGCCAGGCACGGTGGTGGTGTATAGATGGCATCTGCGGAACGCCCCCCATGGAAACGTCCGGCGACGTCTGGGAGTGGCTGGGGGGCTAGGGCTGGCTAATTCCCAGACGGCGCTGGCGCGAACCTTGGCGTTACCAGACCCCTCCCCACCCCCAGCCACGGCAGTTATCGCGAGAGGGCGATCACGCCAGCTCCTGGGGGTCCCTCGTCGCTTCGGCTGGTTTCGCCTCGGAATCCTGGTCGGGTCGCGGCCCAGGAGGGCGTGAACGGAGTAGCAGTGCCAGTTTCTCCTTGCTGCCCCAGGTATTGGATCGCGACCACGAGGTTCCTCGACAACTTCACGGACGCGTGGAGCGGGGAGAGCATGGGCACCCACCTCGGCTTCTCGCGCGGGGACGGCAGCGCCATCAACGGCATGTGCGTGCCTGCCCCGTGCTCCGAGCTCAGGGTCCGCGAGGTGATGGTCCCGCTGCTCTGGTACTTGAGGCTCTTCGGGTCCATCCGCGACATCACGATGCCAGAGGCCGCCATGCGGTTCAAGCTGAACATGCAGGACCGACCAGAGGTGGTGGACAAGATCTTCAAGGACGAGCTTCCCCAGGTTCGGCGGCTGCTCGACGTGGAGGTCGAGGAGGCTAGCAGCTGGAGCGAGCTCGACGTCTCCTGGGCCATCCTGGGCTTCGCTGGCTCTGGTACCAGCACCCTGGCTTGGAACCTGCACCAGCACCCCGAGCTGGAGCTGCTATACGACCCCGCACAGATGAGCGTCGGCGAGGATCGGGGGATGCCGAACAATATATCGACATTGACGCTGGGCAAGCCGATCCTGGGCCCAGGATCGTGGTGCATGCCCTCCGTCTAGGGCTGTCCGGGAAGCCGTGCAATTACATCGATTCAGGGCCCAGGATTGGCATGGCCAAGGTCGGTGTGCAGCTGGCGTCCTCCTGGAGGAGCACTTCTTCCTCTACGACCGGACCTCGCACCTGCCGAACCAGAGGGAAGTCTTCGAGTTCAACGCCCAACGCCGGAAGCCTGGACACCAGCGGCTGCTGCGTGGCGTGAAGCGCCCCAGCTACATCGAGTCGCCCGCGGCGCTGGCGCGCCTCGCCCAGATCCCTGGACTGATCGGCATCGCTCATGGTTGGTAAGTCGCCCTGAGGGCCAGGGGGCTCAGGAGCCAACCGCGCAGACCTCCGGAGGCCAAACACACAGTTCTCCTCCTTCTCCTCTTTCTCTTCCTCATCTTCAACATCAGCATCATTATCATCACCACCACCATATCATCCTCCTCCTCCTCCTCCTCCTCATCATCATCATCATCCTCATCATGACCATCATCATTCTCATTATCATCATCACCACCACCACCCCCACCATCATCATCATCAGCATCATCATTACCATCATCACAATCATCATCATCACCGTCATCACCATCATCATCATCACCATCATCATCATCATCATCACCATCATCATCACGACCACCAACACCAGCATCACCACCACCATCATCATCACCATCATCATCACCACCACCATCATCATCATAACCACACATCATCATCATCACCACACATCATCATCATCATCATCATCATCATCATCATCATCATCATCATCATCATCATCATCAGCATCAGCATCAGCATCATCATCAGCATCATCAGCATCAGCATCATCATCAGCATCAGCATCAGCATCAGCATCCATCAGCATCATCATCATCATCATCATCATCATCATCATCATCATCATCATCGTCATCGTCATCGTCATCATCATCATCATCATCATCATCATCATCATCATCATCATCATCATCATCATCAGCATCAGCATCACAACCACCCTCTTAATCCTCCTCCTCCTCCTCCTCCTCCTCCTCCTCCTCCTCCTCCTCCTCTCGGCCCGTTTCCCACCGCCCCTGGGCCTCTGGAGAGGCTCTGGTGTGGCCGCCCCCAGGCACCCTGCCCCTCGGGGTGACCCACCGGACCGTGGGACATCGTCGTGACCAGGGACCCCGTGGAGGCCGCCGAGCGCATCTACCTGAAGCACGTGGACCCGTGCCTACAGGCGGCCCCGCCGCGGGCTTTCCCGCGGCTCGCGGAGTGCGCGGCGGCCGGCGGCTGCCTGGTCGACTGCGCGGCGGGCCAGGTGGGTGGCCAGGCCGCCCCGCGCCTCCGCCTCGCGCCGGAGGCGTCGCCGATGAGCGCGCAGCTGCGCCGGGCGGCCCGCACGCTCGGTGCCGAGAGGCTCGTCGTGGTGGACTTCTCGGAGCTGCAGGCGGAGGAGCCGGCGTTCTACAGCCGGCTGGCCGCGAGGCTCGGCGCCTCCGCCCCGTTCCCGCCGTCGTCGAGGGTGCGGCGCGAGAACGAGAGGAGGCCTCCAGGGGGGGAGGCCAAGTGCACCCCGGCAGACATGGGACGTGCCCCAGAGGAGGGGTCCCTCGGGGGCCCACCTCCTGGGTGCTTGGGTGCCAGATCTTGCCGCATGGCTGCAGCTGGGACCCTGCCCCCCTGCGATGTGAGGCCTGGCTGGGGGTGCGTCGCCCTGGGGGTACGTTTGTGTCCTCCCGAGGTCCTACGGGCGGGACGGCCACCCCGTCAGACGAGCCGCAGACGGGGGGGAGCTGTGGTCCTTACGGACCCACCAAGCCTTGGGGGGAACGGATCGGTTTCGCTTCAGCCGATGTCGGCGGCGAGCGAGGGGGGGAAGTGAGCAGGGGCGGGCCTCCTCAGAAGGCCCAGAAGTCCCCCAGCCTTCTAAGAAGCCTCCTCGGCCGCCCCCGAAGACACGGCAGACTCCTCAGAGGGCGCCTGGGCTTCCGAGCAGCCGCGCCGCCCTCTGAGCAGGCCCTCCCCTTCTCCCTCACCCCCCCCCTCGCTCTCTGCCTGCGATGGTCTCCCCCCCACCCCCCTGGGACTTGGAGGTTGAGGCCCACAAGGGATTCGGCCACGAGGTCCTCTTCCTCCTCCTTCTCCCTCCTCCTCCTCCTCCTCCTCCTCCTCCTCCTCCTCCTCCACAATTACTCAATATGAATACTACTCTCCCTCTTCCCCTGATGACGGTTTGATAGTATTAGCCCCCCCCCGCGTACGGTTTTTTACACAGGATTCCCCAGAGTTGGGTTTTTGCTTGCATTTTTTTTTCTTCCAAAATGCTGCTCTCGCTGAGGCGCCGGCCTCATTTTCGGGCCCCGCTCGTTCCGGATCGTGCTCCCGCTGCAGCGCTGGCCTCATTTCCGTGCTTCCGCTCGTCGTTCCGAATCGTGCTCCCGCTGTAGCGCTGGCCTCATTTCCGCGCTTCCGCTCGTTCCGACTCGTGCTCCCGCTGCAGCGCTGGCGTCATTTCCCGTGCCATGCCACGGCATGCAATGCAATGCTAGGTTGATGCTACGCTTTGCGGTACTCCTCTACGCCATGCCATGCCGTGCTCTACAATGCATCGCGTACCCTTTCGGGACCATTGCCCTGCTCGACATCCGACTGTGCGAGTAGAGAGGGGATCTACGCCATGGTAAGGGATGGGAGGGAGGGGTAGGATGTCAGATATGACGCGAGCGCACCTAGCTTGTCCTTCTCCCTCCTCCTCCTCCTTCTCCGGGCAGGGCACCGAGGGCCCGCAGCCCCCCCTCCGGCCTGTGGCTGGTCGGCCCGTGCTGGCCACCGCGGAGCTGCGGCGCCTGGCCGGGGCGGCGCAGCTGGCGGCCGGGCGCGCGGTGCTGCGGGCCGCCCTTGCGCGCGAGCTCGGGGCCCTGCGGCCGCTGCTCGCACGGCTGCCCTCTCTGCGGCCCGGCGGCGCGCTGCCGGCGTGGCTGGCGGAAGAGCCGGCGCCGTGGCCATGAAAAAGGCATGCGTCGTTGTTGTGGTTGTTATGGTTGTTGTTGCGGTTGTGGTTGTGGTTGTGGTTGTTGCGGTCGCGGTTGTGGTGGTTGTGGTTGTTGCTGCTGGTGTTGTTTTTGCTGTTTTTGTGGTTGGTGGTGGTGGTGTTGCTGTTGTGATTGTGGTTGCTGCTGCGTGTTATTGGTGATGCTGTTGTTGTGGTTGGTGTTGTAGTTATTGTAGTTCTTGTTGTTATTGTTGTTTTGTTGTTGTTGTCATTGTGGTTGTTCGTGCTGTAGTTGTTGTGGTTGTTGTTATTGTCGTTGTTTTTGTTGTTGTTTGTATCGTTGTTGCTGATGTTGATGATGTTGGTGATGCTGATAATGTTGTTGCTGTTGTTGTTGCTGCTGCTGTCGTTGTTACTGTTGTTGTCGTTGTTGTTATTGGTGATGATGATGCTGATGCTGCGGTTGTTGTTGTTGTTGTTGTTGTTGTTGTTGTTGTTGTTGTTGTTGTTGTTGTTGTTGTTGTTGTTGTTATGGTTGTTATGGTTGTGGTTGTTGTTGTTGTTGATGTTGCTGCTGCTGTTGTTGTTGGTTGTGCTGTTGTTGTGACTGATGTTGCTGCTGTTGTGGTTGATGCTTTTTATGTGGTTCGTGTTGTACTGGTTTATTGTTAATCTTGTTGTTGTTGTTGTGTTGTTGTTGTGGTTGCTGGTGCTTTTGTTTTTGGTGGTTGCTATGGTGTGTGTTCTTGTTCTTGTTGATGTTGTTGATGATGCAGCTGCCGCTCGTGATGTTGTTATTATGGCTGGTGTTTGTGTTATTGTTGTTGGTGTTGCCGTGGTTGTTGTCATTGTTGTTGTTGTTGTTGTGGTTGTTGTTGTTGTTTTCGTTGTTGCTTGTTGTTGTTACTGATGTTGTTGTTGTCGTTGTTGTTGTTGGTGATGATGCTGCTGATGATGATGGTGCTGTTGTTGTTGTTGTTGTTGTTGTTGTTGTTGTGGTTGTTGTTGTTGTTGTTGTTGTTGTTGTTGTTGTTGTAGTTGTTGTTGTTGCTGTTGTTGTTGTGGTGGTGGTGGTGGTAGTTGTGGTTGTCGTGGTTGTTGTATCCCCCCTCCGGTAATCATAGTATTTTTCGATTGAAGTGCCTTTCCCGGGATTCGCACCCTGTTTTTTGTCAGGGGACGTGTGGTGTCACCAAGCTGCTCCCCCAATCCCCGGTTTATAACAACAACGGCTCCCGCCGGATATTTCTTCGCTAGAGACTTCCTCAACAGTTACTCAGGAGTTGTGCTCTCGTTTGGGGCTGCCTCGCAATGTATTCAGACGCCGCGCCTCGACACTCAGGAATCACGCTCTGGCTTTGGGCTTCCTCACGATCTACTTGGGAACCGCGCTCTCGCTTTCTGACGGTTCATGCGGGACTCACGCTTCCGCAACCCGCCCGCTCGACCTGCCCGTCTGGGTCGCCCGCCCGACCCGCCCCTTGGGGCCCGCAGTCGCCCCTCGTTGCCCTTCGCCCGCCTTCGATGCCCCTCGCTGCCCTTCGGGGCCCCGCTGTCGCTCCTCGTGGCCCCAGCGCTGCCCCTAATGGCCACGGTGCTGCCCTCCGTGGCCCCGTCGCCCTGACTTGGAGATCGCGCTATCGCTCGATACTCCCCAGCGATTTATGCAGGACCCGCTGTTGCTCGGGCCCACTATCCTCGCGATTCATGCAGTAGTGACGCTTAAAGGAGCCTGCTCGACCTGGCCGCCTGGGCCCGCCTTCCGACCCGCCCATTCGGGTGTACCCGCCCGATCGGCCCGTCTGGTTCTGCCACGTGCCTTCTTCCCCTAGCCTTCCCTCCTGCTAGTCTGTCCCGTGGTCCGTCCCTGTCCCTCCCGCTTTTATCCGTCCTCTCCTCCCTTGTTTGTGGGGCTGCACCATTTAGAATGTGGCAGGCAAGGAAGATATACCACCAATGGGTGTGAGATCGAAGACGAAGAGGGCGGGCATCGAGGGCTTGGTATATACGTGTTTTATGATACGCGAGCAAGTGCGACCGAATAGTCTGAATCCAATTGTTGCTGTTGCTGCTGCTGTTGCTGTTGCTGTTGCTGTTGCTGTTGTTGTTGCTGCTGCCGCTGTCGTTGTTGTTGTTGTTGTTGGTGGTGGTGTTGTCGCTGTTGTTGCTGTTGTTGTGGTTGTTGCTTGTTGTTGTTGCTGCTGCTGTCGGTGGTTATGGTTGTTGTTAATTATTGCTGTTGTGTGTTGCTGTTGTTGTTGTTGTTGATGACGTTGTTGTTGTAGTCGTCATGGATGCTGTTTTTTATG